AAACCCATTATAATTTCAGCATTAGTTCTAACTGAAAGTGGGGGATTGATGTGTCTAAATTATAGAAAACTGTGTATGTGGAATGGAGAGGATTTACAGAAGAATCCTTATGAAATTTAGTAACTAAATGTAGAAAATGACATTGAACAAGAATGTCTCACCAGGTTTGGAAAACAGAAGAATGATGATGGATAAACTATACATTTAAAGTGAACTGAAGCCAAGTGTGACGTTAATTCCTTTTTGTCTGCTCCTGGGGTTTTAGGGCAAAAGCTGCAGCTCCAAGGGTCTCAACAAACCAGGCTTGGCTACCCATCCCGTAGCAACAGTAAAGAGGAGCAGTGGTGAAGGGCAGGAAAGGAGTTTTAAATCAGCATAACCCACGCTGGGGAACAGACAGGTTAAGATCTGTCTGTGGAGGACTGAAAGTAGCTTTAGAGTTGTAGAGGAAAGAGGGAAACAAAAGCAAGAGCAGGGGTCTGTAGAGTTGGCAGCCTAGGTGATCATCATCTGCAAGGTGCTGGGAGAGCCATCAGCACATGAAAGGACAGCTGGGTTCCCACTTGAAGCAGAGGCTTTGTTCCATCCCAGGTCATGAGCCCACTTGGGTGGTACTCTCATCCTGGCTCTGGACTTGGCCCTGGTAAGTGTCCCTGCAGGCCTTAACAATCTAGTTACTCGTGGTGTCCTCAGTTTGGAACGAGGATGAGAAGGGCCAGGTGAACCTAGGGCTAACAGAGCTTACATTACACTTTTTAAGTGATCAACAGACATGCAGAGCTAAGCAGGGGTCAGATCCAAAGTTTCAAGGCAGTCCGTGCTCCATTCCCGCTTTTAGCCCAGCCTCCAGGGCCTGGATTCATGGTTGTTGCTGGTAACCATTTAGAGTCGTCACCAGGTTGGTAGATCACTTCAGTAGGTAACTTGCCCCAGTGTTATATTAAGGAGTTAGAAGATCCTACTTTCCCGGCTTCCAAGCAGATATGCTTCCCACTACATGGTAACATTGGCAGCATGAGTACAGCAGTAATTGGGAGAAGAGAAGAGGAAGTGAGACAAGCAGTAGAAAGTAAGTTATTTTTTTTTTTTTTTTTTTTTTTTTTTTTTTTGCTTTTACTCCTAAAAGCTCATAATTGAAATTTTTGCAAAAATATAATCTGTACATTTCCTATCATGTCTTGCCTACCCAAATTCTGTAATTTGAAGTTTCTAGTATGTGTCTGATGTAAAGGCTGTCATGATCTAGACACTAGATTGTGTGTTTTAAGTGAGCTTTTAGGATAGTCTTCTGCTGAGGTGTATTAACAGCAGGAAGGCAATTTATCTAATCTGCTCTCCCCACACCAGGGCTGGAGGCGCTATCCAATGTAATTATGGAACTTGTACAAGGTTCTGTTCTGTCTTGTGTTCTCTCCACAGCTTGATAACACTGCTAGAGAACCTCATCTATCCTCTAACCCAATACTTAATTACTGTCCTACTTTTACTACATATTGAGCCCACATTTTTCCTAAAGGACAATACTTCATTTTTCATTGTATAATATATAGGAAGATAAGGTTCACCCATTTACTTAAAAATCGTGATGGGCACAGAGTATGCCAAGATAAGCAGTATGAAGCCTCAAGAAGCTTAAAATGCACAAACTTGCACCATTATCATGTCTTTTAAAAGTGTGGCCCCGAAGACCCTGTTCCCTGTAGACCCTGTACTAAATACATAAAGAATAAAGTAGATAAAAGTGTGTTTTTGCACAGTCTCAGTGGTGTGTGCAGCAATGCCCTCAAACAGAAGGACATCTTTTTGACTTGGAGATGGGGATGAGATCAGGCGAGACTTGTAAGTGGGGAGGGACGGAGAGAGCTTTGCGGAACAGCGCACAGAGGAGGGCAAGCCGTCTCCAGTGTGTGACATGCCAGAGCTAAAGGTGATCTTCCAGTGGGGAATTTGACTATCCTGGAAGTACCAATTCAGCCACTGAAGATGTTCGATACAGGAATGATGTACTAAAAATTATGCTTGTGACAGGGCGGTGCACACCTGTAATCCTAGCTCTCAGGAGGCTGAGGCAGTAAGGATCACCAGGAGTTAGAGGCCAGCCTGATGTGCGTAACAAGACACGGTCTCAAATTGGGTATACAAAAGCAAAACAAAAAGAATGTTTATGGGATACTCCAAGCCTAAGGGAAAAGATTTAAGGATGTACATTTTCCTCACTACGCTTTTATACTTGCCTTGAAACTTAAAATACTCAGTTCCTATACAGGCTATCCTGGGCATGGTAGCACACATCTACAATTCCAGTACTCAGGAGATTGAGGCAGGAGGATTGCCATGAGTTGAAGGACAGCCTGTACTACATAGTGAGACCCTGTCTCCAAAAAAAAAAGACAAAAAAAAATCCTGTATAGACTAATATAAATAACTAAATGGTGCTTTTATGCATGCCCAATAGTCAACTAAATATAAATGGAACACCAAAGAATTTAAGACTTAACAGATTCATATGTAATTAGAATTGAATATTCCAACTACTAAATCCAGGCTGGCCATGAACTCTTGATCCTCCTGCATTAGCCTCCCAAGTGTGAGGATTACACACATTGTGCCACCACTTATAATGGTAGGATTTATTTTGAGAAGGCATTTGTTTCTCAGAAGTTACTATTGCATACAAGCAGAGCCTCAAAATAAATCAGTTGTTCTAAGCCCTTCCATAGCACCACCAAGATGACTTTTATCTCCAGACAGTAAGTGGGCAGCATATCTAAAGAGTCACAGTAATATCCTGTCTCCGTCTGTTCTTCTAAGGGTCTATTTATCTTTCCTAAAATACCCTTTCAGGTGTCTACATCTCATTAATATAATATATAAGCCCCAAATTCTAGTCACATTTTTATGAACCCGCATAGATGTGATTAAATGTTTTTGTTTGTTTAGACAGGATCTCACTATGCAGTTCAGGCTGGCTTTGATCTCACTTTGTAACCCAGGCTGAACTCTTTTTAACAATCCTGCCTCAGCCTCCCAGTACTGGGATTACAGGCAGCACCACCACACTCAGCTGATGGTTCTTTTCTCCTGTTTAGGTGGGGCTTTGGTCAGTCACACACAGGCAGCCATTTAGTGAGTAGTGTTTTTCTTCTCCAACTGTATCAAAATAAGGAAACTCTAGTAATAGAAATAAGAGCTTTAATCACTTTCTTAATCTCTGAAAGCTTTTTAAAATATAGATGTTCCACTCCCTGAGATAGTAATTTTTATGGTCTGGGTGGGATCCAGCCATGGTTAAGCTTCTAAGGCGATTCTAAACTGCAGCCACTACTGAAAATCACTGGGTTAGGCGCTGTACTCTTCATAAAAACACAAACCTTATTTTCATCTTTTTCTTTCTAACTGGCTAACTCTTGACTTAATCAGCAAATAATGAATTTGGTTTTGTATTATTTGAATTTGTTAGGCAACAAAATGTCACTAATCATCTTGGAAACAATCTTTTAAGCCAACTAATTAAAAGCATTACATAACAATTTATAGCTGAAACTAGTAACTATGTATAAAAAACTTATAATTGTAGTTTCCCAAACTATTGAGAAATCTTATCCTGAACATTAAACATGAGATTGGAAAATAGTGCTATTTTAATCAAATAGCAAGCTCAGTTTCTGCTTCAAATTCTTTATTATACATTATGGTTGCACAATTTGAGGCTGGGTAAATACAATTAAATTTCAAAATCTCTGAATATTTTCTAAATTACTACATGCAAGTGACCATGAAAATATTTGGCATTTTAAAAATTCTGAACAGGCACTTACATGAAGGAAAACACTACTATCCATAGATACCCACATTTAAAATGCTCCAGCACATGGTACTTGGAACCTTTGGCCAGCAAAGAGGTTAGTTACTAACCATTTTATCAAAGTGCCATAGTAGAGAAACAGGTTTAAGTAAATGTAGTTTGGGTTATTAGCTCACTCATAAAATAAGATTAACTGACAAAACTTGCATTGAAGTATATTAAGATATCGGTATAAAAACCAGTGAACAGTAAATGAAAGCACTTTACAGGCTTTGTTTTGGTTTCCACACTCCACACTTAAGTGTCTTTGAGACAGACCCCATGCATGGGAGTGCATGACTGCAGCCTTCCTTGGTAGACACTGAACAGATGACTTGGATTAGTGTTTAAAAAAAATTAAGACAGACTGGGTGAAGTTTGAGTGGAGTTTGAACTAGCCACAATTCCAGTTTAACAAACATGAAACTGTCTGTATCTAGATAATTACATGTCTCACAAGTTCCCTCCTGATCGCCCAATTTTCCACTGAAGAATGAATAAATTTGTAAATCATGAAAATGATTATTTGCATACATGTGACAAGAACATTACTTAAAAATGTATATCTATGTTCAGATTTCTAATTAAGGGAAAACATGTAGTTGCTAACAAGTTCTTAAATGCCAACGTAAGTCAACTCCATGTTCCAGAACACACATGTGGTACTACTGGGAGTACATAGCAAAATGATAACTTAATATGTGGGAGAGAAGAGGGCCACAGTTGCATGCTACATAGCCCTCAGGGGGAGAAATATGCATACCACAAAAGTCTTCAAAGAGGGTAAAATGCAAAAAGCTATGAAACGGCAGACCCAGAAGCACCGTCAGTGAAACACTCCATATACGTTTCTCAAATGTATATGTAAAAACAAAGTTCTCAAAAACATTGAGATGTGCCAGGAATATAGCTCAGCTGTGCAGCGCCTGCCTGGCACCCACAAGGTCCTGAGTTTGATCCCCAGTACCACAAAGAAAAAAAACAAAACAAAACTGAGATACCATGTTCTAAATCTTTGCAGGGTATAACATCCACTTATATTTTCTAATTTGATTTGAACACAAAAGTATGTAATTTTTTGCATGTAGATTATTCATTTGTATAAAAGGATTTACAGTCAACATTATAAGGAAAGAAAGCAAAATTACAAGTACCATCCTATTCAAATGAAAATCTTTAATGTTTATGCTGATGCAATATCTTGAGTGCTTATCATCAAAGTGTGTGGTTAAAAAATAAAATAAAGGCAGCTTAGGAAATTTCCAGTGTTTCAAAGAAAGCACTTTTGAAAATGTTTATACATGAACATTTAGTTATACTGTAAAATAAATGCAGCACTGTAAGATAAAGGAAGACTATTACATATGTAGTTTTGGCCTCTTCCCCCACACATGCTGCAACCATCTTTAACCTGCTGAAACTAATCTCAACGGATATGGATTTTCTCCTTTTCTCTTCCTAATTCAGTTCACATTTCAGGCTGTTCAGCAGATGCCTGTTCTGGAGATTCGAATCGCTGGTGAAAGTTCGTTCTCTGTTTCCTCAGTTTTTCAGGAGCTTTTCTCCACAAGATGATTTCCTATAAAGACAAACAGGAGACATCAACAAGTTAATGTTCTCCACTGGGCCTCACGTTTTCACTACGGAATACTAATTGCAAGTTCAGTTTTAACTGTAACGATACTGAACTTCCTATTCTTTCTAAACTGATCTACATTCTGCCCGTGTTAGTCTTAGACTGTCTCCAGCTCCCTGCTTCCCTCAGCACCCTCACATAGAACCACCATCAGTGTGATCAGACCTTAAGTCCTAGCTATTATCTCTTTGTCAAATTCCTAAAACCTGTCCTGTGTTTCCTATTCCATTACCTTAATCTAAATTTAAGTCTTGGTCAGTTCAACCGTAGATACTAAAACTGCTTCCCTGTAAGGCTCCTGTCTCTCTTGCCTGAAACCTTATTCTGCTTCACCCTTTGTAACACAGATTCATTTTGTAAAAATACTGGTTGTATTACCCTGTAATAGCTCATTGTGCCTCCAGTATAAATCTCCAGTGGGTACTTAGGGTCCTCTTATAACCTGAATTTATCAACTCTACTTCCCTCCTTACATGCTTCTCCCCCACCAACCAAACTATTCCTTTCTGCCTCCAACCCACTTGAAATAAATTCACCCCATATCTTTGCCTCAAACTATCTATTATTTTGCCTGTTTAAATCTTATCCTAAGCAACCCATCCTGGTATCTCTCTTCTAAATTCCTTTTTTTCTTTTTGGTACTGAGAATCAAACTCAGGACCTTGTGTTTGCCAGGCAGGCACTGCTAAATTCCTAACATAATTTGCTTCGTCAAATCATGACTGGCTGATTGTTTTGTTTTACACAACATATCACAACTTAAAACATTTGAATGGGAGGGTGGGCAGTATGCTTACGTCAACAGTGTAAGCCAAGCAGTTGCTCTGGAAAGTGTAAATATCATGTAACTTACTTTAAAACTATAAGTTACCTATGTTTATTTATACAGCATTATGACTCCTTACTAGAGTAAGTTTTCTTTTCTTCTAAATTACTGTTAAAACTATTATTTAAGCTTTCTGCTATATAATTCCACCTCCACCATCTGCAATGTGCGGACCTGGAAAACAAATGGTGTATAAGAGGTAGTTTTAATATTCTTCACAGGTTGCACAACACTGATTTCTAACTTGGCTTTTGTAACGTTCAACTAACATTCAAATATTCATCTTATTTAATATATAAAAATTTTAATCACAGTATTCATTTGAATCTCACCAAAAGCTTTTTAACATTTTTCATTTTTTTTTTTTTTTTTTGAAATAGGGTCTCCCTTTCTACAGCCTTAAACTCCCTATGCAGTCCCGGCTGGCCTCAAGTTTGCAGTGATCCTCCTACCAGCCTCCTGAGTGCTGGGATTACAGGCCTGTACCCCATGCATGGTTTAGACTGATTTTCAAATGAGAACTTATTTTATGATGCTTTTGGAGGTCAGGGGGTACAGGAATTGAATTTACCAGGCAGGCATTGTGCCACTGAGCTAAATCCCTAGCCCCAAACTTTATGATGAACACCTCATCTGAAAAATATCAGAACTGTGTCACCATGTGGACATTTTAATAGAAGGGTTTAGTAAAGGAAAAATGAAGCTGTGTGTGTGGACTGTACTCTGGAAAGTTGGAGCAGGATTGAAAGTTCAAACCCAGCCTGGATAATTCAGTGTCTTCACGAGACCTTGTAAGTTGGGATAAGTGAGTAAAAGTGTAGTTCAGTGCAGAGGCCCTGAATTCAATCCCCAGTACTGAAAAAAGGGGGAAATGAAAGCTCAAAATCCATGAAATAAATGCAGCTAGGAGAGAAGTGAAAAAGGAGTAACAATGGAGATCTTTGTTGATTAAAAAAAAAAAAAAAAAAAATTAGGAAAATAAAGAGCCAGGAGTGGTAGGACAAACCTGTAATACCAGCATTCCAGAGGCTGAGGCCAGAGGATCACTGTGAGATTGAGGCCAGCCTGGACTACACAGACAATTCAAGAAGAACCTAAACTACAAAGGGAAACGCTGTTCCAAACAACAACAACGAAAAAAAGAGCAGAAGAAAGAAAACAAGAAAGACCTTGACAAATTACTATAGCTTTGGAATCTGCACAATGATTAAGAAGGAAAACTGTTAGTTTAATGCAATTCCCATCAAAATTCTAACTGCACATCTCACAGAATTAAAGAAACAATCCATAAATTCATTTGGAACCAGAGGAGACCTAGCATAGCAAAGGCAATTCTGGATAACAAAGGCAAGGCAGGGAGCATCACAATTCTTAAGACTTGAAATCATACTATAAAGCTACCGTGATTAAAAAGAAAAAAAAAAGCACATCTGTAATCCCAGCACTTGGGAGGCTAAGGCAGGAGGATCACTGTTCAAGAGTGAGTTCAAGACCAACCTGGGCTACAAAGTGAGCTCAAGTCTAGCTGCCTAAGCTGCATTATCAAGACCTTGTCTTAAAAACAAAAAGAACAGGGTGGTACTAGGGGAAAAAAACAAAACAAAAAACCCAGACCCAAGGATCAGTGGAACAGATTAGAAGATGCAGAAACAACTCCAGACATACTCAACCACCTCATCTTTGAAAAAGGTGCCAAACATTCACTGGAAGAAAGATAGCCTCTTTAATAAATGGTGCTGGAAAAACTGATTAAAATTGAACTCATCACATGGTGGCACGCCGCCTGTAATCCCAGCTCTTTGGGAGACTGAATATATGAGAATCACTGAGTCTGATCTATGTAGTGAGACCCTGTAGACCCTTACTAAAATACCAAAAAAAAAAATGAACCCATATCTTTCACCATGCACTAAACTAAATTCTAAATGGATTAAAGATCTAAATGTTAGAACAGAAACATCAGGGCTGGTGACATAGCTCAGCAGACTAAGCCCCTACCCTATTTAGGCAAGCGCCCCAACCAGGGTTCCCCAGCACCACATGCCACAACGGCCCCATCCCCGGGCTGAGCTGGCCCGAGTCTGGGCATGGTGGTGCACACCAGTAATCCCAGTGCTGCGGAGGCTCAAAACAAGACAGTCTGAGCTGCATAGTGAGACCTTGTACCAAATACATGAAAAAACAAACACCAGAAACATTAAATCTGCTGGAAGACAGAATCAGTAAAACTCCTGAAGACACTGGTGTAGGGGAAGACTTTATGAATAAAACCCGAATTGTGCAGGTACTATCACAGACAATCAACAACTGGGATCTCATAAAAAGCTTTTTCACAGCAAGAAAAACCACCAAAGAGACAACCCACAATGTGGCATTTTTCCACAATGTGACAAAAATGTTTGCCAGCTCTTCCTCAGAGGATTATTGAGAACATATAAAGAACTAAAAAAAAAAAAAAAAACAAAACCAACAGACCTCCCAAAATTTATTTTCTATTTATTTTTGGTACCAGGGATCAAACTCGGGACCTTGCACTTGCCTGGCAGGCACTTATGCTGCTGAGCTACATCCCTGACCCTTACTTTTTTTAGACCTCCCAAACTTAAAAGACCCAATCTGGACATCTGAGAAGAATCACACTTCTCAGACCAAGAAATACAAACAGGAAACACAAAGAAATGTTCAGATAATACTGGCCATTTAAGAAATGGCAAATCAAAACACTGAGATTCCATCTCACCCTGGAAAGAACAGCTATTATAAAGAAATCAACAAATACTGGAGGGAGTGCAGATCGGTACAACTACTATGGAAATCAGTATACAGATTTCTCAACTATGACTAGAGGTCCCACTTGACCCAGCTATTCCTTTTCTGGGTATTTTCTCAAATTTAAAAACATAGTATAGTGATATATATGGAGCCATGTTTATCA